ACCATAGTTAAACATTGTCTTATAATCGGCACTTAGTGCCTTTGAGCAGGGAGGGATCTTTTTTGTGCCAGCACCTAAAGCGACACAGGACCTTGTTTTATACGGTCTCATCGGAAGGACAGGTCCCCACGTCCCACACGACGTAAGGATCAACTCCTTACTTCGCTAAGTAGAACAGACGCTCTAATCACCGCGCTATGCGGGCGACCTTGGGGATATAAAATGAAAACAATGAAGAAAACGGTTAGTAAAAAGTAAGAAGGGGTCGTTTTAAAGTATTATTCTTACGAACTTCAGGGCAAGAATGAGAAACCATATTTACGAAAGCTTCCTGATATAAAAAAAATTACTTTTTTTCAAATCATGACTAGAGTTTTCCCTTGCAAAGTGATTGTGTATTCTGGGGGGTAGTGTGGATGGAATGGGAATTAAACGGTCTGTTTAACTGTCCATATGTCTGTCTGCCCCTTAAAGTTTTTCCCAGAAGGTCAGGCTATAACATAAAGAAACCAGAAGCTTGTACTCGATACAAAGATTTCAAGTGATCCTAGGATGTGTCATTGTATTTATATATTCAAGGCAATATTACTGCAAATTTAAGGTCACTGGAGAAAGAATTAATGTTTTGTTGCATCATTTATATGTAATCGAGAATATCTGTAAGCTCATACTTGATACAGAGATTGCTTGTGACAAAAAGGTTTTTTTTTTACGATTTTGACTCAGAAAACAGTATTTTTTTCATTCTGACTATATTTAAGTCCATACTTGATACAAATTGCTTATAGTCCGCCGGTTTTCAAATGACTTAAATTAAGGTCATTTTAGCAAATTTAGGGCCAATGACAGAAAAGTTGTAAAACTCCTGTCAAGGTTATGAATTTCTAAAAGTTGTTTCAGATTGAGGGTTTGTCTTGACAAAGAGTCAAGGATATTCTGTTAAAATCAATGTCACTGACAGAAGAAATCTTTTCTTTTCCACGCTATGAACTAGTAAGTGAAAATCATTGGAGGCTCTTACTTGAAACATAGATTACTTATGATTAGAGGTTGTGTCATGACCCTGATCAAAGGTCTTTCTGGCAAATCAAGGTCACTGACAGAGAAAAAATGTTTAAGCATAACATTGTTATTAAGATTCACTGGAGGCTCATGCTGAGAAGAAAGAATGTTCACATTAGAAAGTGCTGTAACCTTGACCCAAGGTCGGTACTTCCTGTCCACAGCTCCAACGGAAGACCTACTCGTTGCTTTGCAACGAGCTCGGCTCTAGTATTGGAGAATTAATTGCTTTAAAATTTGTTACCATACAAATATCAATCTAAATTCCTTTTAAGAAGAATAAAATTGCAGAATTAAATTATGATCTAAGGCGTAAGTTCTTTTCGGGCCACTGAATGTCTGATAGATGCATATTGATTCACTAAAATTATTATTAATGATTTAAAATCGCAGCATATTAATATGTCGTGTAAATTACATTATGTAGTTAAATTATTAATAATTCAGTTTCAAGATAATTCAATGTGAGAGCAATTACTGTAGTATAATGATATCCTATACATTTTTACCTTGGAAATTTCGGTCAAATACAAAAAAAAAGAGTCTCACAAGCTTATCTTTAAACAAGCTAATTCAGAGAATTCGTGTCCCCCGCTTAGGGAAAAAGTCGGCTCCCCCTGACTGAATTTGTAGAATTATTAAATGTATACATGTATACTGAAGGAAATAAAATACATGTATGGCAATATGCATATAAAGATTTGATTGCTTATTCTTTATTATGTGTATAGAAGATTTTTTCATATGGTATATTTATCACACTGTAATGATGATTTTATAACCTCATAAATTTTTCATTTCACATGCTGAATACTATCATTTAGTAAAAAAAAAAAGTATTTAAAAAAAGAAAGAAAAAAAAAGAACGGTCCGACCGAGATTCGATCCCGGGTCCTCTCACATTTGAAGCGAGCGACATAACCACTAGACCACGGAGTCGCTTTACACAAAGTGAGGTATATGCAGAACTAAAGTCACATACATGTATATATTCATGTTTTCATGTTCGGTATTCTCAAAATTTTACACAATCCATGGTGTTTGATTTATTTAGCCTTTATTAAACAGTTCTAATAGATGTAATAAGAACATAAAGTCCGCCGAGAACCTGTTTTATACGCAATAACTCTCCTCATGCCCCTGCGCTAAAAATAGCGACATGTAATACTATAAATACTAATAAAACAAACGGGGCGGGGCACTTTGAGAGGGGCGAGAGACGTCCTAGGGAGTTTTGGTATAAAATTACATTGCATCAGCTCAAAATCTTCTTGAAATATCGCCCGGAAATGATAGTGTTACACACAGAGAGAATGTATGAATTTACGACCTTGAACTTTGACCTTTTGACCTCAAAATCAATAGGGGTCTTCTTTAGGCCACAGGGAGTTGTTATGTAAAATTTCATTGCAATAGCTCAAATGGTTCTAGAGATATCGTGTGGAAACGAAAGTGTTTTAACAAACAGAATTTGCTTATTTATGACCTTGACCTTTGACCTTTTGACCTCAAAATCAACAGGGGTCTTCTTTAGTCCATAGGGAGTTGCTATGCTAAATTTCATTGCAAAAGCTCAAAGGGTTCTCGAGATATCGTGTGGAAACGAAAGCGTTACAGACAGACAGAAAGACGGACGGACGGACAAACCCAAATTAATATCCCCCACTTTTCAAGCGGGGGACAAAAAGATAGGTGAGCTAGCGCCGTGGAAAATTTTACACAGAGAATAGGAAGGTTCGTGATGAACTGATTTATTAACTCCGGTCCGAAGCGGTGGTTTTTGGCATTTGGAAAATATATTTGTAAAAATTCTTTGTTAATAAATTCTTTGGGACCAAATGACATGCACACGGATTGTAAGAACGTTTTACCTTCCAACTGAGTGCAGTAGGCTGTTTGAAAGTATTACGAATTGTGCATTAATAATAAAATGGACGCCTCCCGCCAGCCAGCTTAAATCACATGTTAATTTGTCTAGAGATTTTGTGAGCCATCGGGCATAAAGAGGCTTTACTCCTGGAAGCCTCATGCCAGTCTCAATGTGACCAGGAGAACCGCCGTCACACGCAGTTGTGCTGCACATTCACCAGCATACACTGTACCCGTCTTGGAATCTTTATTTCCTTTGACTGATAACTTTATCTGTTTATATTGATCTCTTTATCGATTGAATAAGATCCAAGTTTACGCCAATGATAATTAGTAATTAAAGCAATTATGAGCCTTAGATTTGAACGATAGAATAATTATTCCTATTGTAAATAATTACTGTCCTGAGCTTTGTACATAAGTGTATTATCAGTGTATTATCATATTACATATCATATTACAACCAAATTTGGTAAACAAATTTTAACAACAGATTCAAGTACTTTGAATTAAAAAGATTGGACTATATCTTGATATTTATCACAATTATTAACGGATTTAAATGGGGTCGCGGAGGAACGTCAAAACTGAGTTATTAGTTAATTATACACTTTTAGCGTTTACAGTCATAAAAATCTTATAAATGAAATTAACTTTAAATGCTTAAATAAAGTGTTTTTTATTACTTCAGAAGCTAAAATGTATTGAATACCTTGCTTCGCTTAAAAGATATCAAATTCCAAAGACATAGGTTTGATTGAAAACAGAGAAAAAACATGACCTCGGAATATATCAAGAAGCAGCGAGTAGCAATAAACATTTTCGCGTCTGGGAAACCTTTAAATACAAACTCTGAAAATACTTGGTGGAACCAGGAAATATATATTAAATCGTCGAACCATGCATTTGGTTTAAATGGAGAATACAATTCTTGATTAGTAGAGACTTTGAATCGGGTGATTGACGGTCTGCAAAGAAACAGTTTATAATTCAAAATCTTGTCCAAATAGTTAGTAACGTTATGAAACGTGATGCGCGCTTTCATTAATGGGCATGGAACTTGTGAAAGCATAGTTACATGATAAAGAATTTGAAAACAATGACAATCTAACTTAAGGTACTAATTGTCAGCAAACTAGGTGTCAAGTGATATGGATAATTTTTTATGGATGGGGAACACCTTATAAACCGTATATGAAATGAAAAGACAGCGTAAAGTTTTAAAACTCGATCGATGTTGTTTTTGACGTACAATGTTATTAACCATGATCCGTGGCGATTTGACATGTTGCTTTTAAAACTGGCTAACATTGAGTTCCATTTAATAAAATGGAATAAAAATTCACACATCGATAAAAAAATGTTTTTACATATAAAAAAAAGGTGTACTTAAATTTAAGAAAAAATATATAATGAATCACCCTCGTAAAAAAGTCCAAACTACGGAGAATCTCTCGCTCTCTCTCTCGCATTCTTGTACAAAAAAAATTATGAACCAGATTGAAATGAACATTTTCAGCCTTATACAATGTTTTTAATATTTAAACCAAAAAATCCATTTTTGTGAAACTTTGAGAGAAAAATTAAAACCTACGCTGAAAAATGATTCAGGTTGTTATTTTCAATTTTAGGACAAAAGTTTGTATCATCTGTCCTTAAAATCGAAAGGGATACCAGGTAAATATTAGTTGATGCTGCTATTCAAAATCAATCTCGAATTGCCATTTAAAATAGCTACTTTTATATCTGACCCTATTCAGAATATTCAAAATTTGAGTAGTATCGCGAGATACATGTAGATAGATAGATAGATAGATAAAATCAGTCAGATGAAAACAGGTGAAATGACATACTTATTCAAAATACAGCTTTTTAATTTCTGTTTGATTGAGTTTTACTGTGGTGTATACTCGTCACTGTCAACTTCCGCCCTTTATTTCGTTATCCCCGGATGTGAAGATAAACTTGGAAATAATGACCTTATATCTGTGGAGAACACAGACTCGCTGACTGAATGTGCTTTATCCTGTGAGACGAGTTGTGTCTGCTTTGGTTTTCATCGCGGACGGAAGTTATGTAGAAAGCAAACACAATGCAAATCGTCGAGAATGGACCAAATTGAGATTGGATGGATGTACTTCACACCCAATAGAGGTATATATTTTTCGAGATACATTCTTCAGCATGATTGATTTTGCTGTATTTTTGTATAAGAGGTTGTTTTCAATAATTAAATTATTGAAGTATGCTGTGTTTGAACAGTAATTCATTGTAGATTTTGATACAGGTTGGACATGTAACAGTGACACAGGCAGATGTTATAGTCTAAACAGCACAAAACTATCTCAAGCAGAAGCCATGGTAAAATATTGCTTTTAATAAGGTCTTTAAAAAGCTAAAGTATTCGAAATTAATACGCAAACTTGACTAAGTAGTTTGTTACTTGATATATAAAATACATAATATATATAAAAAAAAAACGCATGCCTCATGTGTCTCAAATTTTGACGCCCGTCAATAAATTTTGGCGTTTTTAAATGCAAAATTTATTGCAACTGACTCCCTTAATAAAATTCTACAAAACACATTAGCTAAAATTTAATGTCTTTACAAAATATATTATCCGGTTTCGTCTCTGCAAGATTCGTTTCTCCAAAAATAAAAATAACACAATTACATTTAAGATATCAAGATCAATAATTTAAGTATAAATCTAGCAAACTGAAAGTAATGGAGAATCGATTTATTTTAAGTCATTCCCGGTTTAATTTATTAATTTTCGGTAGAGTCTCTTTAAATGTTTATCTAGCTCTTATTGTTTTCAAGTCGTCTGTTTATGTAAGTAGTATAATTGAAAGTTGTGTTAAATATCATGACTCTCACTTTAAGCTCCCCTCTTTACGAGAGATCCAATCGAAACCAAGTTAATTAACTATTACATGTATATTTGTTTGTTTTTCATTCTACGATTTGGATCAAATCTAGGAAAACAACTTGTTTCAATTTATTTAGCTCACCTTGTCAGAAAACAGAAAAGCTTATGTAATAGAAAGGTGTCCGTCTTTCTGCGAACATTTGTTACATTAAACGTTTAAATCTAAAGTTTAACCTTGATAGTTATAGATTAGTTTAAACTTTAGATTTAAACATTTAATGTAACACATTTATTAAAAAAGCTACTCTAGGACAGTTCTGGTCTGCTTTCAGTATAACTTGGCACAAAAGTATACCACATTAAAAAGATACAGAATTCGTTATGTCGGTTTTAGAGTTAAATGAACATTGTTGCCATGGTTACTTAATATGAAATTGCATTAAGTTTATTTCTAAATGTATCCACAGTTTTAGACTGCTTTTAATATAACTTGGCACAGAAGAAAAATAAACTAAAACAAACAATTTTAAGTATTGTTGTTGCAAAGTTTCAAATCCTATTGCTATTTTCCTCTCTCTTGGTTATAAGTATGAACCAGTAGATCTACAGTCTAATTTGAGCCATCTGTATTTCTCGATGTACCATAATAAGATCTATAAAATTTGAAAAAAATATACAATAACCTTATAATTTTACAGCAGTCTTGCTATAGGCGCAACTCCTACCTCGTGGAAATCAATGACCTGGAAGAAAACACCTGGATTACTACAAACATTCTAAACGCTGCTTGTAAGAAAGTTACAATTACCTTATATTTCTTCAAATTTCATTTATTTGTAAAGCAACAATTTGAGTTTTTTTTTTTTTCAAAGTCAGCAGTAAAATACAGTGTAAACTGTCTAGTAAGACACCAGAGTAATCCAAAATTCTGTTAATTCCGGGGTTAAAATTTTCCATTTTACTATTTTCCCCTGTTTTTAACACATTGAAAGAGTATTCAACTTCAAATTAGTTCGTTTCTCCCTCAGCTTGTAGCAATCGCTATCTTTGTGCAACATGGACCGGGGGAAGTGACAGGGCGACAGAGGGCGCGTACATTTGGGAACACTCAAACACGACGATTGGATTTACTCACTGGAGCAGGTTTAACCCGGACAACAACAATTTTCCAGAACTAGAAATGGATTGTATCGACATTTTTTATAACGGAGAGTGGAATGATCGACCCTGTTCTTACTTAAATGCTTTCCTTTGTGAACGGGAAAACAAGTAACAATGAATAATTTGTCTCCAGCTTTAGTGTACAGTAAAAGAATTATTGTCATGTTCTCTTTCATATTCTTTTTACATATACAAAAACAACTCAAACACAAATATAGAGGAGGCGACAATGTTAGCCTCCTCTGTATATGTCAGTCCTGAAGCTTCTAATTTGAATTTCCACATGAGTATCGTAAAAGGTAATATCTGATCTCGTAATATTGCACAGCTCTCTGGCCCTGACAAATCCTGCATATCCAAGAACAAAGAATAATCTAATATGCAAATCAAATAAATTAGACAAGTTACTTTTCAAGCTAAAGACTAGGAATTATAGGTTTTTCTTGTTCATTGAAGTATTTGTAAAGTGCATAAAGCTCCTTCAAAAGTCATTTTCACAAGTTTGTCAGAACACGGGTTTAGAAACAATTTTTTTCTCATGATACCATTGCACTGCATGAAAATGAGGGGTTAGCATTGAAAATGTTGATTTACTCCGAACAAGATGAGATATGAAGAAAGGCACTGTTTCAAGCTTTCCTGGTTGAAAAGATAAATAAATTGAGAAATAAACACCAATGACCGAATTTAGAAAAATGTGTATTGTTTTTACTTAAAGTGTACTTTAATTTTGATGCCCCGATAAAACCTGGTATATTTCAATCAGTGTAACAATGTCCCCCTCTTGTCCAATGTACCCAATGTGAATGGTTGAAGAGCTGAAATCATAACAAAACGATAACATATAAAGTTTTAATTTTATGAAGAACAAGTTGAATTCAAATAGTAAACAGTTTCAAAAAAATTTAATCCTGGCTGTAAGCCTTAACTAATATGCATTTAAAATTCATTTTGACTCTCAGCCTACAAAACGTACTATGTATCTAAATCCTGGCTCTCAGCCAATGAATACAAACATCAGGCTCTCAGCCAAACATACGCATAGGCTCTCAGCCAATCAATACACACATCAGGCTCTCAGTCAATCAATGCACATATATCAGGCTCTCATCCAATCATTACACATATCAGGCTCTCATCCAATCATTACACATATCAGGCTCTCAGCCAATCATTACACATATCAGGCTCTCGCCAAAATTAGGCACTCGTATTACGATGCAGAACATCACTCCTGACTCCCAATCAAAATTACGGATAAATGTCTCAACTTTAGAACATAAAACACAAATGCACCGAATAAGTCTAAATATCTAAATTAACACGAAGTACTAGGTATAACGTTGGAGAAAATTTTCACTCCAGCAAAAACACTTTCTTAAAAGATCCTGTAGTGAAAAAAAATTTCTTGGTTTGTCATATTCAATTTAGTACGACGGCGTATTCGTGCCATATTGAAAATGAAGAGAAAATTTTAAAAAATCGTTTGTACGATTTTGTAAATCGTTTGTACGGTTTTTTTAAATCGTTTGAATTTAGAAAATCGTTTGTACGATTTAGAAAATCGTTTGTACAATTTGTTAAATCATTCGTACGATTTGTAAAATCGTTTGTACGATTTAGAAAATCGTCTGAACGATTTTAAATAATCGTTTGAACGATTTAGAAAAATCGTTAGTATGATTTAGAAAATCTGTATGAATGTTGTTGTTATGGACCTTTGTTAGCATACAATCTTCGTCTTTATCTATTTTTTTCCCTTAAACACACTCCCTCCGGATTTTCTAAATAGAATACATCGAATATCTTCTTGAGAAACGGTAAATCCTGTCATAATAGCTTTCCAGTACAACCACCTGTATCCATGCAATTGACCACATGACTCAAGTGTTTCCTCGATGAAAAGAGCTACGTCCCCTATGTCGGATTTATTCTTTCGTCTCAACAGTCCCAACTTAGCTGTTGTCCTTTCCAACGTCCGTTCACTAACAAAGACTCGGTGAGATTGCTAAAGGATTTGTGCAATTTCCGAAAAGTGAAATATTCCTTGATCAATTTTTCTCTGTCATTCATCGTGTGATTTATTAAATGTGCTATGCGTGGATACGTTGTCCTACTTGTGCAATGTTTTCTACTAGGCTTCGATGTGTAATAACAAGAAATACAATTCGTACAAACGATTGTCTAAATCGTACTAGTCTAACGATTTTCTAAATCGTACTAACGATTTTCTTAATCGTACAAACGATTTTTTAAATCGTTCAAACGATTTTCTAAATGGTACAAACGATTTTCTAAATCGTTTCAGCGATTTAAAAAAAAACGTACAAACGATTTTATAAAATTTTCTCTACATTGTCATTATGGCACGAATACGCCGTCGTAATTTAGCAAATCACAAAATCTTTAAATTTTCCATCTAACATCTATACTTATAAATTAACAAATTTTACAAATAAACTCTGAAACGGCTGCACAATAGTTATTACTAAAGCCTGTAGGAATACAATAGGTATTAAGTGATGTCCGTAAATTATATTCAGATTTCACTTGCATAGTAATTATCGTAAATCTAATTGAAAGTCTACTTTGATTTTCGAATAACAGCCTCGAAATAACACTGAAGAGAGTAAAGTGGTGGCGGATCTAAGTAACTGGCATTTATTAAAATAACACAACAAGCACGCTTGTTTATTTCATAAAGCGTCATTAACGAATTATTCAATCAAAAACTTGATTTAAGTGATGTAAAAGAAGTAAACTGTGGTCATTCATTAAAAAACAAAATGTGCAAATCCTTTCTGTTTATGTCCGATCTCCTATTTGTTGAAATTTCTAGAAGTCAGGTTCACATCGAACCCGATGTATAAAGAAAAATGAATGGACATGAAAATAAATGTCAAAAAATTGGTAACAGAATGAGGTTGTGAGTATATCCTAGTAAGTTGTGCTTAAATGTTTTATAAATAAATGTCTATTAATGGCCATGGTTATTTGTTTAGACATAAAATGGTACAATATTATTTTTAAACAATTTACTTAAATACTATTAAAAATTTGTTCTTTAATGAATACATTTCAGTTGATATGATACATGAAGTCTTTTATTTTTAAAACATTTATACCTTTTAGGTCTGAATGTACCTTTTGGATTGAAAAAAAAGCTTAGTTGTACAGTTAAATGTGCACATCCATTCTCTTATCCGTGATGTAAATGGAAATAGATCATCTGAAGTATATAATAATCAATAATTTATAGCTCAAAATATATTAAAATGAGGTTTCTAAGTAAACATGTAAAGAGTAAGTCTCAATGAGCACCTTAAGTACATGATGTATAACATAGTACAACAGAATAAAGATAGTTTTTGGAATAGTTCTGTTAGCAGTAAAAACAGATTGAATTTTCACCGCGCTTGCACGGGATTTCAACTAGTAGTTCAAACAAGAGGCCAAGGGCCACATCGCTCACCTGAGCAATTGGCTAGAAAAAAGCACATATCAGATCTGAACTGAAAGTTAACTGAGGAGGGGGGGGGCTTGAATTTTAACCCCCAAGGGGGTCATGATTTGAACAAACTAGAATCTACAATACCTGAGGATGATTCCCTATAAATATCACTAAGCTTTGAAGTACTTGAAAAGAGGATTTTAAAAGGTTTCCCTATATATTCCTATTTAAAACTTTTAACGGCCATTTGGCCCCACCCTACCCCCGGGGGTCATGATTTGAACAAACTTGAATCTACACTACCTGAGGATGATTCCACATGAGTTTCATCATTCTTGTATCAATGGTTCTTGACAAGATTTTTTCTATATATTCCTATGTAAAACTTTGATTGGCCATGTTGGCCCCACCCTACCCCCGGGGGTCATGATTTGAACAAACTTGAATCTACACTACCTGAGGATGATTCCACATGAGTTTCATCTTTCCTGGCCCAGTGGTTCTTGAGAAGAATTAAGATTTTTAAAAGATTTTTCCTATATATTCCTATGTAAAACTTTGATCGGCCATTTTGGCCCCACCCTACCCCCAAGGGTCATGATTTGAACAAACTTGAATTTACATTATCTGGGGATGATTCCACGTGAGTTTCATCTTTCCTGGCCAAGTGGTTCTTGAGAAGAAAATTTTTAAAGATTTTTCCTATATATTCCTATGTAAAACTTTGATCGGCCATTGTGGCCCCACTCTACCCCTGGGGGTCATGATTTGTACAAATTTGAATCTACGCTGCCTGAGGATGATTCCACTTGAGTTTCATCTTTCCTGGCCCAGTGGTTCTTGAGAAGAAGATTTTTAAAGATTTTTCCTATATATTCCTATGTGAAACTTTGATTGGCCATTTTGGCCCAACCCTACCCCCGGGGGTCATTATTTGAACAAACTTGAATTAACACTACCTGAGGATGATTCCACATGAGTTTCATCTTTCCTGGCCCAGTGGTTCTTGAGAAGAAGATTTTTAAAGATTTTTCCTATATATTCCTATGTAAAACTTTGATCGGCCATTTTGGCCCCACCCTACCCCCGGGGGTCATGATTTGAACAAACTTGAATTAACACTACCTGAGGATGATTCCACATGAGTTTCATCTTTCCTGGTCCAGTTGTTCTTGAGAAGAA